TGTGCCCGCTCTCCAAGAAGCCGCTCAGGTGACGCGGGCCGCGGCCTCCTGGAGCGGGGCGGGTGGGCCGCGCGACTTCCCGCAGCCTCGCGGGGCCTTTGCGCTCAGCCCGGTGCTCCGCGCCGCTTTCTCAGGGCCGCCGGCGGGGCCCGGCCTCACGCACTCGCCGCCGGAAAGTGGGGACCGGGAGCCGGTCTCCCCCACCGAACCCCACTCCCGCCCGGTCGTCCCGGAGGACTGCGTGGACGCGGCTGGGGTTCCTAACTGGCTGGCGTCACCGTAACCCGGGGACCTTTCTTAAAATGCCGAGTCTCCGAAAGCCCCGGGCAAACCGAAACGGAATGTCTGGGGGCCGAGCCTGGACATTTGTGTTTTCTTTTTTTACTTTTTCTGGAGACAGAGTCTCCCCACGTTGCCCAGGCTGGCCCGGAACTCCCGCCTCAGCCTCCTGAGTCGCTGGGAGTTCAGCCGCCGCCGCCATGACCCGGCAGTTTTGTGTTTTCTTGAAAGGATCCTAAATGATTCTCTTGTGCAGCCAGGATTCAGAACAAGTCCAGGGCGGTCAGGCTTGCTTTCTTTATGTTCTGAGTCGGATTCTCCCTCTGTCGCCCAGGCTGGTGGGCAGTGCATGCCCGCGACCACCTCAGCCTCGACCTGCAAGGCTCAGGCGATCCTTCCGCCTCTGCCTTCCAGTTAGCTGGAACCATAGGCATGCGCCACCGTGCAGGGCCGATTTTTTGATTTATTGTAGAGCCGAGGCTCCTCATGTTGCCCAGGCTGGTCTGAAACCCCTGGGCTCAGACAGTCCTCTCGCCTTCACCTCCCAAAGTGCCGGGATTACAGGCATAAGCCACCGGTCCGCATTCAGCCTTCTAAGCCAAGATGGTGAAATTATTGTTGTGGCCTCCAGATTCTTGTGAGGGTGCCATGCATGACGGGTGCCCCAGTCTTAAGCGTTTCAGCTGAGCAGCGCTGCCCAGTGGCTCTTGGATGTGACTGGCAGGTTTTGCAAAAGCCTCTAACCTTTACCCTGGTTCTTGGGGAAAACAGTGCTACAGTTCGGTGCTGTAAAACAGTCTTGAAAGCACTAAGACTTATGTTCAGAATTGAATAATTGATGTGATTTATTGAAAATCCAGGCCGGGCTTGGTGGCTCAGCTTGTAATCCCAGCACTTTGGGAGGCCGAGGTGAGTGAATTGCCTGAGCCTGCAGGTTTAAGACCAGTTCAGGCAACTTGGTGAGACCTTGACTCTTCAATAAATCGAAAATTAGCCAGGCGTGGTAGTGCGTGCCTGTAGTTCTGGCTACTTGGAAGGCTGCGGTGGAAGGATCGCGCGAGCCCAGCGTGTCGATGCTGGGGTGGCCGTGAGCCTGGGGCACAAGGTGAGACTCCAACTCAGCATAAAAGAAAGCAAGAAAGAAAATCCAGCTCTTCCAGGCATCTTCTCTTCCACAATTCATTTTGTCTTTTCCTCCTCTCAGATACGAACCATCAACCCATGAACTGATTAATGAAGAGCTGGGAATCGCCTATCCAGTCATCGATGGGGTTCCTAATATGATACCGCAGGCAGCCAGGAGGACACAAAAGAGTGAGAAGCAAGAGGAAATGCAGCAGCACTAGGTCATCCTTTTCAAAGAACACAGTGACAACGGGATTTTCTTTGCACCACATACTCTTTAAAGCACAGTGGTGTGTGATAAGTGGAGGACAAGGATGTTCCTGTCTCTTCCTACGTTGACTGTTCTCATCCCACTGGTTTCATTAGCAGGACTGTTCTACTCAGCCTCTGTGGAAGAAAACTTCCCCCAGGGCTGCACCAGCACAGCCAGCCTCTGCTTCTACAGCCTGCTCCTGCCGATCACCATTCCAGTGTACGTGTTCTTCCACCTCTGGACCTGGATGGGCATTAAACTCTTCCGGCATAATTAATGCAGCCAGAGCCCAGGTGTGTGTGTGTTAAGGCTAGATCTCAGGCATCTGTCTCTGAAACCTCAGCTAGATGGAGCTACTGAGACCCAGGATTTAGTTTGCAGGAAAGATGTTCTGCCTTGTGTACATCAGACCTAAGACTATGAGAGGTTTAAGTTGCAGAAATACTTTATTGTATTCTTGCTCTGCTCTTGTTTTTGGAAAGTTCTGACTTATTAACTACTGTATCAGAAGAAACATTTTGACAAAGTATCTTGTTGGAAAATAACACCCAGTCATCTCTGATGACTGTTTCTAATCTCATTCATCTAAAAGTTATTTGAAGTTTTGTTTGTTTAGCTTCAAGGTCTTTGGTAAAGTCACACATTAGGGATGACTGAAATAATTTCAAAGAAGCTGTGTTGAGATAGTTGTAGAGAAATGCCTTGAACTAGTGTGGTATAAAACCACGTAATAAAATGGAAATTTAATGGACTTAGAAAAATTCAGAGTTTGTAAAATTCCCTTCATTTCTTTGGCATCAAATGCTTACATTAACAATAAAGATGTTCACAACACCCATAAATATTAACCAGATTTTAGTGTATGACTATTTTTTTTTTTTTTTTTTTGGTTACAGGAGTGGTACTGAGGGAAAATGTAAAAATGCTCTAAATAAAAAATTTAGGCTATGCTGAGAGAGACCCCTAGTAGCCAAAATGGAATCATTTCCCAGAAAAGTGCGGGTGGAAGACTTACAAATAGCTGATTGTGCCCTATTGAGCTTAGAACCATATTTTTAGCCACATTTGTTTATTTTTCTGTTTTAAGCAGATCTAATTAAACACGGCTAAGGGCATGAACATTTCACATTAATAGCTCCTGATTTTCCAGAACTTTCAATAAGACTGAGCATAGTATAATACTTATGAAGTATAGCATAAATGTTATAGGAGTTACCCCAAAGAAACCTAAGAAATTAATATAAACTTAATTGATTCTTATTAGAATCTTAGGTATTTTAACAGAAATTTTAAACAATTATTCCTTCCCATCAAAAGAAAATTAAAGCTGGGCTCGGTGGCTCAGCCTGTAATCCCGTGCTTTGGGAGGCTGAGGTGAGTGAATTGCCTGAGCCCACGGGTTTGAGACCCGCCTTGGGCAACTTGGTGAGACCTCATCTCTACAATAAATCAAAAAATTAGCTGGGCGTGGTAGCGCACACCTGTAGTTCCAGCTGCTTTGAAGGCTGAGGCGAAAGGATCGCTGGAGCCCGGTGGTTGAGGCTGCAGTGGCAGAGAGCATGCCACTACACTCCAATCTGGGCAACAGAGTGAGACTTCAACAAAAATAAATTAAATTAAATTAAAAAATTAAAACATGTTAGATGTGTTTTCTCTTGCATTAATTCATGTATACCATAGGACACACACTTTTAAAAATTACCTCTGGCAGTACAGTAAGTCCCCTACATATGAACTCTCAAGTTGTGAACTTTCAAAGATGCGCATTCACATGTCCAGTCTTAAGCTAGTTCACGTGTCTTGCATCATTGTCATGTGCATGCATCCTCTGCAAGTGATTGAGCTTTAGTATACTTTACAGTACTGTACAGAGTATAGTAGTACAGTATCTTTATTTCAAACCCAGGATGTTTGGAAGCAAGCATAAAGGCAGCAGTGATGTAGCTGGTACTGCTAAGAAGTGCCAAGCAATAACAATGGAAACAAAAGTGAAAGTAATTTAGAGCTTGGAGTGGGAGAAAAGATGGTAGAGATCGCTTGTTCTTATAACATGAATCGTTAACCATCGGCACAATTCTAAGGAACAGGGACAAGATCATGGAACATGAAGTCTGCTGGGCCGATGATGTCAGCAATAATATCAAGGAAGTGTGGCAAAGTGAGGGAGGAGTTGGAGAAACTTCTCTGTGTGGGATGAAGGATCAGCATCAGTGTTGAGCCCTCCTTAGCTTGATGCTGGTTCAAGAGAAAGCTAAAAGCCTTTATGAAGACTTGAAGAAGCATAGCAAAAAATCAGAGGGCGCATTTTTAATGCCAGCCATGGTTGATTTCATTGGTTCAAGGCTAGAGCCAGCCTTCACAACATAAGAATAAGTGATGAGGCAGCAAATGCAGATAAGGTAGCTGCCTGGGACTTTCCTGAAATGCTTTGAGAATTTATTGAAGGCACATATTAACCCATGCAGGTTTTTAATGTGAAAGACAAGACTGTACTGGAAGAGGATGCCAGACCAAAGTTACATCAGTAAGGAGGAAAAGTTGATGCCAGGCTATAAAGCAGCAAAGGACAGGCTAAATGGTGACAGTGTTTCTGGTGATATGAAGCTGAAGTCTCTCTTAGTTTATCATTCAGAAAACCCAAGAGCCGAAGGGCTCTCTTCCTGTTGTGTGATTCATAATCCACAATGCCTGGGTTACAGAGGTCATTTTCCAGGACTGATTTTTCCACCACTTTATCCCGGAGAAAGAGAAATACTGCTTGGAGATGGACATTGCATTCAACACTTGCTGCTTGACACTGCTCCAGCCCTCCCCCATTCATGGACGACTTTAATCCTAATGTCAAAGTAGTGCATGTGTCACCAAATACTATGTCACTCCTCCAACCTATGGACCAGGGAGTTATAGCAACTTTTCAAGAAATATTCTCATTACACTTAGGTAGTAAGGTCAGGTCATGAATCAGGAACAACCTTGTAACAATTTTGGAAGGACTATAACATCTACAAGGCCATAAAAGACATTGACTTTGTTTGGTGTGCAGTTATGGCTGTCAACACAAATGCAGTTTGGAAGAAACTTTAAAAAATTTTTATTTTAAAGATGTGGGGTACAATTCAGGGTTAAGTATAGAAATGTTCACTATGCAGATGCCCTTGTTGAGGAGGTGTGCCCCCCTACCCCAGCAGAATCCCACTACTGCCACTCCTGCCCCCTGCCTCACCCCCAGGAATTTACCATTACTGACAATTCTTAGTATTACGATAATTGTTCAAGGTCCACTTACGAGTGAGAACATGTGATACCCAGTCTTTCTGTGATAGATCACTCAGTATTATAGACTAAGTCCATCCAAGTTGCTGTGAAGTTCATATGGAAGAAATTTTGCCTGCAGTATGTTCGTGACTTTCATGAATTTGAGAAGGTGGATGAGGAGCCCAAAGAGGTCTTCAACAACTTAGTGACCCTCAGCAAGAAGCTGGAGCTAGATCTGCAAGAGGACAACCTCATTGAACTCCTTGCTGAACAACACGAGAAGCTTACTCATGACAGACAACATGGTGGAATTGAAGGCCCAGAGACAGGAGAGAGAGACAAGAGGAAGAAGTAACTGAAGAACTGAAGAGATTCACGACACAGAAAATGGCAAGGGATTTTTCATTAGAGGAGGCACTGTTAGCTTTTGAGACACAGGACCCAAACGTAAAATGGCACATGAAGGTTGCAGCAGTCGTTCAGAATGGTACTACCCAGACATCACTGAAGGTTTTTTTTAAGAGGGTAGATAGAACTGAATCCAGCAAGGAACCAGAACCTGTGTCATCAACGTCAGCATGAGTGAAATCGCAGTTTGCCCTCTGTCTCCTGTTGCTGACGCTCCAGCTCTGCCATCTCCCACCTCCTCTCCCTCCAGTCAGTAACTCTTCCTACCTGTTCACTTGATGTCAGCCCGTATGTCTGCTGTTGTACTGTACCGTACTACTGTACTTTTTAAGGTACTGTGCTGTAAGGTTAAAAGTGGTTTTGTGTGTGTGTGTGTTTTATGTATTGTTTGTGTGAAAAGTATTATAAACCTATTATAGTACAGTACTACAGAGCCAATTGTGTTAGTTGGGTACCTGCGCTCACTTTGTTGGACTTAGAAAACAGTTGGGACTTATGATGCACTCTCAGAACAGAACTCAGTCGTATGTAAGGGACTTACTGTATACAAATAACCTGGAAGACTAGAGATTCCCAATTATTTCCAGAATAATTGTCCTTTTCAATTAACCCAAATCTCGTGCTTAGCCAAGTCAGTGTCAATAAAACAATTTTGCTGAAAAAACAAGTAAATTGAGAGGTCAATTTCAGCTTTTGGAAGTTGAGCATTTTAACATTTTAGAGAAACTGGACAAGCATCTCCTCCTCCATCTACTCCCAAGCCTGGAGAGGGGGGCTTTTAAGGAGCCCCCTCTGAAGTCTAAGACAGAAATGACAATAGCTACTTCTGGACCGAGTGAGAGTTTTACGTGAGGTAGGAAACAGGACTAGCTATCTAGCGTAGCCAGCAGCCATAGCAGACTCTCACTACTATGTGCCATGGTGGAGGGGAAGGCCAAGCTTTGTTCTTTAGTGAAATGCTCCATTTAGAGGCGTTGTTTTCTGCACAAGCCATTAGATGGCGCTTTTGGCTAACTCATAGGACGATTATCAACCAAGCACTCAGATGGAACCAGAAAGGGATTGCACTTGTGAAATGCTAGCTAGGGAGCCATATTCCACCATTTCTTCAGCATCTACCAGAACACCATAATGGGGGAAGAGAATCCCGAAAAAAAAACGCCATAATGGGGGAAGAGAATCCCGAAAAATGAGTGGAAACAACCCAGAGGGTGAGGCAGAATTGAGGAGAGTGAGGAAGCGGGAGGGATCAGGGTGCAATGGGATGAGGGTTCCAGATGTGTGTGAAAGAGACTGTGGCTCGTTCAGGAAACTGAAGTAATCATGGCTGCTTCATGACGTTTCCTTTCACGAAGGACTGTCGTGATGTGGCAACCCCAGATCTGCAAGGGCCTGTGTGAAATGTCCGTTACCTCTTTCAAAGAAGTCACCTGGAGGTCCAGCAGGGAGGGATATTGGTTTATTAGAACTTACAGGAGGCACCAGTGGTGGCCAGTTGGTGAGGAAAGAATCCACACATGAGGCACCAATGGTGGCCAGTGAGGAAAGAAACCACACTTCAGGGCAGAACAGCAAAGTTTCATAGGCGAGCAAGTCAGGAACCAAATTGCTATCCTGTGTTTACAATTACATTGATTACACTACACATGAGGACCACATTGCTTCCAACTCTGCTCAATTACCTGCACTCTGTAACTCATTATCGGGAATATGCATATCCTTCAGAGACCAGCCTTGGCCAGTGACCAGTGCTCACCCTGAGTAACTCCCAGTCCCACAAGCTCCATTCTAGGTGAGTGCCCTACACAGGTAGGCCATTTTAAAACTTTTATACCATATTTTTAGAGTACATTTTCTATGTTTAAATTCATTTGTGTTAACACTTACCCTGGTGTTAAGAGTTGCCTACAGTGGTCAGGGAAATGATACACCACGCAGGTTGTGGCCTAGGATCAACAGGCCACACCATAGGACCTAGGTGTATTGTAGCACACACCATCTGGACGGGTGTTAGAATACTATGAGGTTCACACAAGTATGTAATCACCTAAGGACACACTTCTCAGAATGCATCCGTCATTAAGCGAGGCGTGACTGAAGTGATAAAGGCCTGGTGGAAGCACACCATGTATGCAGAGCACGGCAGGAGGCGGGGCTGGGGCCGTAATAACAGTGTTAATACCATCGGACTTATTGCCTGATTTTCAAACTGTGTGTGGGATTCTAGGGAGTTACAGACCCCTGCTATGACAAGTGTTCATATTTTCACTGTCTGGTACAGTAGCCCCTTGTCACATGTAGCTATCGAGGACATGAAATGTGGCTAATATGACTGAGGAACTAAATTTTAACTTTTATTTTAATTAAAGAGTCGGTATAGGACAGCACAGCTCTAGACTTTCTCCTAGTGCTGCCAGTGAACGCTCTTCAAAACTCTTCAGAGATTAAGCCTTATCTCCAGCAGGGGCCCACCCAATAGGACAAAGCACATGTAGATTACCAGCCTTATGGAAAGTTCCGTTGGACAGTGTTGGTCTAAATACAAAGAGACCCGCTGAGAAGCTGCTGAAGTGATAGGGTGGGGGGACAGGAGTTTGAACTTGAAGCACTGGCTGTGGGACTAGAGAAAAAAGTGGAAATGTGAGAGCCTCACTTGATTGTGGAGAGTAAAGAGGGAGGGCTGGAAGGGTGACTGCATGCTCTTCCTGCAGGGTGGATGGATTCCTGCAGGCCAGAGGTGCAACTCTGGATATAATCAGCACAGACTAGATGAGCCGGAGGAGGGGCATGAGAAAAGGATACCAAGGAGCTGGAAAAGGAACCAGAAAAGGAGATCCATGGCCTAATTTCAAGGAGAAAATGATTTCAAAGGCAGTAGAGATGGTTGAAGATGGAAATGGCATTTCTGTTGAAAGTTGCAACAAATTTACTAGAACAATCTGAGCAGGATGGGAGGTGGGGAGCACAGGCCAGATCACAGCGCTAAGGGAGAGAATACAGTTGGAAGTACAGCCAGCCAGTGGAGAGTTCTGGAAAGATCACAGGAGGAAGGGAAAGGGAACAGGGAACACAGAAGAGAGGAGTTTGAACATCATCTTAAGGCAGCCATGTGGGCATGAAAACCCATGGTGAAGCAACCAAAGACTGGGACACGTAGGAGAGCATGGAGAAATGACGTGCTTGAAAAGAGGTGGGAAGCAGCGCGGTTCATCAGCGCACAGGACGCCTCTTCAGCCAGGGAGAAAGAAGACGCAGAGGCTGGCAGAAGAGCATCTGCAGGTGGCTGACTGCAGGAAGTGCCCGCTCCATCAGGTTCTGGTGAGCATCACATGCCAGGCGCACATGTCCACGGCTTTTCTGTAACCAACAATTCAGAACACGTATTTAAAACATATTTAACAAGGTAGATTTCATCCCATTTTCTCTCTGCTTGAGAATCTAAGTACCACTTCTTGACAGAGGAAGGAATTGACTCAATGGTATTGTTTGAATGAGCTTACTTTGGTTTTACTGTGCTAGCAAATGAAAGAAACTGTTTATTTTATAATCTACCTGAGCTACACTTCAAAGACTGTCAGCCTGCACATTCTGTAGACTGGCATTTGGATCTAGTTTTAGAAACCAGACTCTTGTACCTTCTTGGCAAACCACTGTCTTTAACCAGTTTCAAAATGTGTTCCTATCTTGCCTCCCCTGTTCTGTGAGCATCTCATCCGTGGTTTAGGGATTGAGGCAAATTAACTTTCAACTCAAAGTGCCCAAGGAAATTCCGCCCTGGGCAAAAAGCTCACCATCTTGACAAAAGTCAAGTGAAACACAAGCTCATTTAGGTACTCAACAAGTTGTAAAAGGTACAGCCTTCCCAAAGCACATCAGAAGTTGCTACTTGTACCCATCTACTTCTTCAGAACAGCAGCTGAACTTTCCTTTAAGGAACCACCCCTTCCCCACTGGATGCAGTTTTAGAGGCTGTCAACCATGTCACCCTTCTCCAGCCACAGGATGGGTACAATACCCCAGCCAGCTAATAAGGTGACTGTTCTTTGAAATTTTAAAAAGTGTTGAGATAGGAGTCATATAATAAGTTGCACACACTTAAAGGGTATAATCTGACAAGTTTGAGGCCTTATGTCTATCCTTTAAAACTACTTGCACCACTGAGATGACCAGAGCCAGCACTCCCCACAAAGCCTCCTTGTCTCTTTGTGATCCTTTTTCCTGCCCCTCCCCACTCCTACTCAGTCCCCAAGCAAATACTGATCTTTCTGTCACTATAGCTTGCATCTTCTAGGATTGGGTATTTTACATACTTTTTGTGAATAGGACTCAAGTCTTAGTTCACTTGTTCTGCTCAAATAGAATCCTGAGACTGGGTAATGGATAATGAACAGAAAGTTACTTCTCATGGTCTGGAAGCTGTGAAGCCCAAAATCAGGACACCGGTAGGTCCAGCATCTAGTTCTAACTGATGCCTTATTGCTGTGTCCTCTGAAGAGGAGGATTTTATGTCCTCCTGTGGCAGACTGCGAGACTGCTTATGTGGAGTCAGGGCAATAGCAGCTAATATCATTCTATGTGAAGAATAAAGAAGCAAAAACGTTCCAGCCAGTTGAAAAGGTTCTCTTTCAAAAGCTTCTGCTCCCAATGACTTTCACATACCATTGCTATCTACCTCTACCATAAAGGGAGATTGGGAAAAGTGTGGTTTTTAAAAATGGGGCACAGTCCAGGCAAGGTGACTCAAGCCTGTAATCCCAGCATTTTGGGAGGCTGGGACAAGAGGACTGCCTGAGCCCGCGGGTTCGAGACCAACCCGGACAACATGGTGAGAACTCGTCTCTACAATAAATCAAAAAGTTAACTGGGAGTGGTATTGCACTCCTGTATTTTCGGCTACTTGGAAGGCTGAGGTCGAAGGCTTGCTGAGGCCAGAAGGTCTACGCTGGGGTGGCCGTGAGCATGCCACTGCACTCCAGTCTGGGCGACAGAGACTCCGACTCAAAAAGGGGGGCACAATGCCACTCCCACCAAATGGGGATCTGTACCTAAAGGGGAAACTAGACATTAGACAATTACTTTTTTTTTTTTTTTTTTTATAGAAACGAGCTCTCATTATGTTGCCCAGGCTGGTCTCAAACTCCTGGGCTCAAGCCAACCCCCCGTTTTAGCCTGCCAGAATGCTGGGATTATAGGCAAAAACCACCAAGCCTGACCTGACAATTAAAAGTCCTTTTAAAAAAATGCTTCTAAGTTAAACAGTCTCCCCTTCAGGACAAGTCATGCAAATATTTGTGTCAGAGACACAGCCTAATCTATATCATAATTAACACATCTTAAATAAAATGACAGTTATTTCAAAACAGTAGGTAAACATACTGAATAGTGAACAAAACTTTTATGTTAATTTTTAAGTTTTTAACTTTATTTTTGAAAATGTTTCCGAAAAGAGGTAAAGAATATGATGCAGGGTCAGCCAAAGCCTCTGTTGTTGTTGATGGCTACTTGAAGTGCTTCTTCCATTCTTTCCATTGTTGAGTATTTAGGAAGAAAGAGGACACTAAGACATGTCTGTGCTCTCATGGGGTCTCTTTCATTCAAATATGCAGGGCAGCAAAATGTTATTTTCATACTCTTTAATTCTTTTATTTGTAATCTGTCAGTTCCTGTAAGAAACACTGAAAAGAATAATAAAATGGGGTGATGTATTTCACAGAGAAACAAAAATGTCTAAAGAGAGACAATCAATTTATTCAAAAAGCTTTATTGTGGGCCCATGTGAGAGTCCTACATTAATGCACTGGGGATCATATTAGGACAAAGTCTGACACACAGTCACTGCCTCAAGCAGCTTAGAGTCTGGGAATATTAGATTCTTGTGACCAAAAGGGTATACAGCAAGAGAAGATTTTTTTTTAATTTTTTATTTTTTAGTAGGAGTCTCACTTTGTTGCCTAAGCTGGAGTGCAGTGGCATGTACACAGCTACCACAGCCCTGGCCCACTCAGCTCAGGTGATCCTTTCACCTCAGCCTCCCAAGTAGTTGGAACTACAGGCACATGCCACCATGCCCAGTTAATTTTCTGATTTATTGTAGAGGACAAGGTCTCGCCAAGTTGCCCAGGCTGGTCTCGAACCACTGGACTCAGGCAATCCTCTTGTCTCTGCCTCCCAAAGTGCTGAAACTACAGGTGTGAGCCACCACACCTGGCAAGAAAAAATGTTTAAGGGATGAGACAGTCCATGAAGGCATCCTGAAATTAGGCGCCTCCTGAGTGTAAACACTGGGCTTTAACAGGGAGAGCCAAGCTGGGATGACGAAGGGGACTCCCAAGAGTTCTGAATTATGCCTGGCCTTTAAGGATGGAAAGGTTTAGAAAGACAACAAGGAGGCAGAGGAGGTTCCAGGCGTAATTTTGGAAGAGAAGGAACCTTTGGAGAAAGCCTGGAGGTGGAGAGGTACATGGATTTAGGAGTGTTCAGACAATGGAACTGTCTGGGTAGGTCAAAGATTTCCTCTAGGAGTTAAAGCCAGAAAGGTAGGTTGGGCTTCCATCGAGTCTGAGTATCTTTTAACATACTGTTATCTACAAAAATGAGAGTAGAAAGATAACTGTTTCTTTAAAATAAATAAGGAAAAGAATAAGAAAATGAAAGTAATTAAGCCAGTCTCAGGAAAGCCATCAGGTAAGCACAAAAAACTTAGGAAAATCTGGAAGGTGAGGTAAAACAGACTTAGAGATACAATGGCTGTAAAACAGTATAGTAACGGCAAATATGGTAATAATAATAATATAGCAATAGTAAAAATTAGCCAAATAAAATATCTTGGTTAATCTCACAAGGGCTGGATAAATGAATGATGATAGAGACTATGGAAACAAGGCTCGATATTAAGAACCAAAGCAACCCTAAGCAAAAAGAACAAAGTTAGAGACATCACATTTCTGAACTTCAAACTTTACTACACAATGGTTTAAAAACAGGCCCAAAGACCAATGGAACAGAACAGAGATCCCAGAAATAAAGCTGCGGACCTACAACCAACTGGCCTTTGAAAAAGCCAAACAACAGCAACATTGGGGAAAGGACACCCTATTCAATAAATGGTGCCAGGAAAACTGCCTGGTCATATGCAGAAGAAGGAACTGAACTCCTTACCATACACAAAAATTAATGTGAGACCTCAAACTACAAAAATTCTAGGAGAAAACCTAGGAACACTCTTCTGAACACTGGCCTACCCAACAAATTTATGACCAAGACATCAAAAGCAAATGCAATAAAAACCAAAATTGAGCCGGGCTCAGTGGCTCAGCCTGCAATCCCCCCGTGCTTTGGAAGGCCAAGGTGAGTGAACTGCCTGAGCCCACGGGTTCGAGACCTTCCTGGACAACTTGGCGAGACCTCATCTCTACAATAAAAAAAAAAAAAAAATTAGCCGAGCGTGGTAGCACATGCCTGTAGTTCCAGCTACTTGGAAGGCTGAGGCGGAAGGATCGCCAGATCCCAGCAGGTCGAGGCTGTGGTGGCCGGGAGCATGCCACTGCACTACAGTTTGGGCGACAGAGTAAGACTCCAACTCAAAAAAAAAAAAAAAAAAACCAAAAAAACAACCAAAATCGATAAGTAGAACCTAAGTAAACTAGACAGCTCTGTACAGCAAAAGGAATCATCAACCATTACACTCAAGAGGTGCCTAATTCCAAGGCTGTCTCATCTCTTATAAATCAACAGACATCCTACAGAATGGGAGAAGATATTTACTAACTCTGCCATCTGACAATAGCCTAATATCCAGAATCCGTAAGAAATTTGAATGAGTCAATAGGAAAAAAATAAAATAATCGTATTAAAAAGTGGGAAAAGAATAGGAACAGATACTTCTCTAAAGAAGATACTCAAGCAGTCAATAAACATATGAAAAAAGGCTCAACATCACTAATCATCAGAGAAACGGAAATCATAACTACATCTCACAAGAGCCAGAGTAGCTATTATTAATAAGTCAAAAAACAACAGATGTTGCAGAGGCTGTGGAGGAAAGGGAATATTTGTACATGGTTGGCATGAATGTAATCAACCCCTGTGAAAAGCAGTTTGGAGATTTCTCAAAGAAGTAAAAATAGATTTACCATTCAACACAGCAATACCACTATTGGGTATATAGCCAAAGTAACATAAATCGTTCTAGCAAAAAGACACCTGCACTCAGATATTAACTGCAGCACTAATCACAATAACAAAACCATGGAACCAGCCTAGGTCTAGGTGCCTACCAATAGTGGACTGAATAAGGAAAATGTATTACATATACACCATGGAATACTATGCAGCCAAAAAGAAGAATAAAACCATGCCCTTTGTAGTAACATGAAAGCAGTTGGAAGCATTATTCTAACTGAACACCAAATACTGCATGTTCTCACTTATAAGTGGGAGCTAAACACTGGGTATCCACGGACATAAAGATGGGAGAAACAGACCCTGGGGACTCTTAAAGGAGAGGGGGCAGGGAGGGGAGTAAGTGTTAAAAAGCCACCCACTGGGTACCACGCCACCATCTGGAGGATGGGCTCAGTAGAAGTCCATACACACCACTACACAATAGACCCATGCAATAAACCACACATGTAATCCTCAAGAGTAAAAATTTTTAAATTTTGTAAAGAAAGGAAAGAAGGTTCAATATCTAGCTTGGAGGAAGAAAATAAAAATTTAAAAGCAACAAGAAGCAATGAAATCACCAGGAAAAGATCCCCTTTAGTTAATTAACCTCTGTTTCTTGATGCTGGAACAGAGGACATTCAATGGACCAGGAGTGGCTCTAACACTAACTCTGATCTGTTCCAATAGTATCTATCACAAAGACAATTTTTATTCCATTAAAAAGACATAAGATGAAGCCGGGCTCGGTGGCTCAGCCTGTAATCCCGCGCCTTTGGGAGGCTGAGGTGAGTGGATTGCCTGAGCCCACGGGTTCGAGAGCTGCCTGGGCAACTTGGCGAGACCTCATCTCTACAATAAATCAAAAATGAGCTGGGTGTGGTAGTGTGCGCCTGTAGTTCCAGCTACTTGGAAGGCTGAGGCGGAAGGACCACCGGAGCCCAGCAGGCGAGGCTGCAATGGCCGGGAGCAGCCACTGCACTCCAGTCTGGGTGACAAAGTAAGACTCCAACTCAAAAAAAAAAAAGACATAAGATGACTAATTTATTCCATGATATATACTTACCAAGGAATTTTTTCTTTTCTGCCAGAGTCAATTTGAGGAAAGCCTTCCAAAACATCACTATGGTGGGATGTGAACTACAATATTCTTGTCCATACTGTGCATTCTAGAGAAAAAGAAAAAAATTATTCAGGAAACAGGAAGGAAAATTGAATTTAATAAGTTTGTACTTAATGATGTACCTGTTCAAAAGTTTCCCAGTCATAATCTGTATTTCCAACCATCACGTCCTTCAGTTCTTCAGGATTGAATAATTCAATAATATCCTTGTTACACACTTTATAAAATCCTCTCTGAAATTCTTCATAAACCACCTTTACAGAGATGTTAAATATGTAATCGACATACTTGGAAATATAGTCTCTCCTTTAATAAAACAAAAGAATGTTTTTGTTTACTGCAATGTCCTGGAAAAAAAATGGTTCGAGGGTAAACACAAAAGCCAGAAAACCTAACAGTTACTGAGTGCTTACCATGTGTCATGGACTGTAATAGTTTCTATTTACAGATCATCTGATCTTCATTCATCACAACACTCTGAGGCGAGTTCTTATATTGTAAACATTTTAGTAAAGAAATACGAGCTATGGGGAAATGAAGTGATTAAACTGTTTAAGGTCACCCAGTTAAAAGAACCAACACTCAGAACAGCAAAGTTTGGAATAATAAAACCTGAACCGCAACCACATAATGGTATCAATTTCTGGGGAATGGGCTTGGGAGATGAGATACATTTCATGCCTTATTTTACAGTCTAATGAATTATGAGCAACTAATATTATTGGTGGTTGAACACCAAGAGTACCAAGGAAGGATTTCTACTTCTAGTTAGGGTGAAGTTGCTGATGGCTGATGAATGCTCCCACTGAGAAGAACCAGAAGAGGCAGGTAAGATACAGAAATACAGGCTCAAGGTTTCCAAGTCTGGGCAAGACTCAAAAGGCCAGTACTGCAGAGGGAGGGGAGCCCAGCACTTGGCTGTTTTTCTCTTTGGATACTTGCCAATTCTTGATGAAGGGAAAGGAGAAAGGCAAAAAGTAGTTGCTAAGAGTCAGAGAAGCCAAAAGAAGTTTCAGCAAAGTTTCTGCTAGCCAAGTAACGAGGACTTAAGAGGCTGAGGCTCTGGGACTAGGGAGAGACAGAGAAGGCAGCCTGGTCCTCAGGGGTCTTCCCTGTGAAGCACCTACCAAGCCTTTCAGCTAGGCATGGAAGAAGCAAAGAAGTGGAGCAGAAAGGACTGACAAGCAGAACACAGTGCAGCAGTCTCTTGATGCTGAGGAACAGACTCAGGAGTTGGTGGAGTTCAGGATCCACCAAGAAAAAGAAACTGTCGCAAACACTGCAGGGTCTTTGTTTTAAAAGCTTACTTTTATCTTTTAAGCTTTATTTTTCTTTTGAGATAGGTCTGGTTCTGTCCACCAGGCTGGAGTACAATGGTGTGATCATAGCTCACTGTAGCCTCCAACTCCTGGACTTAAGTGATCTGCCCATCTCAGCCTCCTGAGTAGCTGAGACTACAGGCATGTGCCACCATTCCTGGTTCATTTTTAAAGCTTTTAATTAATTCATTTTAAGAGATGGGGTCTAACTATTATTGCCCAGGCTGGTCTCAAACACCTGGCCTCAAGGGATCCTCCTACCTTGGTCTCCCAAAGCACTGGGATTACAGGCATGAGGAAAAGCTCTCTGAGAAAGTCATTTCCATTCCAATATAAGCCCCATAATGGTTATGTTTATACACATACGGCACACACCAAGTTTTCTGACTTATTTAAAAATAATTAAAGGGAATGAAAAGTTGTAAGAACTAAAAGGAATTTTTAGAACCCAGTGAATATGGTATATCCACAAACCTAATATTTCACTTCATAGTACCTACTTGTTGGTCTGGTCAACAATGATGTCACTTCCATTAGGGACCAAGTCTACATCACTTCTGTCCCAGTGAGCCTGTAACCACAAATGAGCTCAGGTGACATCTCCAACATAATTCCAAACAATCTATCATCAACAGAAGCACTCTGGGATGTATTTCTTTTCCTAAAGAATCTGTACAAATGTCTATTCTTACCATAAGAACCAGCAAGAAATGTACAAACCAAAAACTACCCTATCATGCAAAATAAAAAAAGAAATTTTTTTCAAAACGTGAGTTATCTTATTTTAACAAATCATAGTAAACAATTTAATTGGACAACTGCCACACCTTAGTATTCACTTTATATGGTGTAGACCCAAGGTAACAGATTTGCAAAAGTGGCCACAAATTCCTCCCATTTTGGTTTTCTCGCCTCTTGTCTTGTAATTCTGCAATATCTCCAATCAAGAGGGGCATCGGTCTCAGTCCTTGAACCTGGCCATGGCCATGTGAAGTGCTTGGATCTGACAGAAGCAGAAGCCTGTGTGTTGGACTTGCTGTCTCTTCCTAGTCCTTGTAATCCCAAGACCACCATCCAAGACTGCAGTCTTAGGAGCCTCAGCTAGCCAACTGGAGAATAAGAACCAGGTGGGAATACAGACAAGCTGTTTCAGCTGACACCCTCTAAACCAACGAGCCTGCCAGGGACCAGGTATGTGAGTGATGCCACTGCAGACCATCCAGTCCAACCAAGTTGGCCCAGCCCAGAACTACTGTTTGTTGCTTGATGCCACTAAGTTTTAGTGTTGGTTGTTTATGTGGTAAAACCTAATTGATGCACCCAGATCACAATGTAGAAAAAAATACCTTTTAGTAACTTAATTCACATTTTTTTTTCTCAAGGTGCCTTTTTTATTTACATATGAGAGGGACCACAAAAAAAATGGAATTATCTTTTAAAGGGCAGGCTCCTTGTAATACAGGCATCTCTGGTTAGGTAAGTGTTCTAGGAACCCGCTGGCATCAGTGTACCAGCTACCATTGTTGTGCATCACGATCTGTGAAAGAAATGTCCCAAGTTGTGGCAAACAGGTGACTGGCTCTTCCACCATGACAATGCACCTGCCCACACCATGCTGAGTGTTCAGCAGTTTCAGACCAAAAACAGCATGAGCCCTGTGCCCCACCCTCCCTATCCACCCCGTGAGTGACTTTTCTTTTGTTTCCCAGATGAGAAAACTCCTCAAAAGAAAATGTTTTGCCAATGTGGAAGAGGTGAAACAAAAAATGGCAGAAATGCTCAAAGATATTCAAATTGAAGAGTTAAAAAACTGTTTTCAGCAACGGTTTTTCAAAAAGTGTCTTGGTTAGGTATTGCATCCAATAGGGAATACTTTGAAGGTGACTGAAGTTTCAACATGTAAGAATACACCATTTTTCATAAATAAATTCTGGTGTTTTGAGGTGACCCTTGTACATAAAGGGTTAATCAAAGTTAATCTGCTCTCTGGATTTATTGTTACTCACATTAAAATGGATGTAAAATACTTCTCTGAAGTCATCGCATTCAGCATCCAGAAGTGTTTGTAAATTCCTAAAGAAAAAATAATTTTGATTTTAAAAGGACAATAATCATGTCTAAAATAAATGCCAAATGCATGGCTGCTCTGATGGCCACCAGGTTAGGCTCGGTTCAGAACACCTATCTCTCTCTGCACTGATGGTCTAGAAAGGGTGAAAGCCTGACTAAGATGAGAGGCTTAGGAAGCTGACTGCACTGCTGTGGGCTCCCTGCCTGCTTTGCTGCTCTCTTCCTTGGGCCATCATTTCCTTTACCCAGTGACTATGAGTTTCTGTTTAGAAAAGGATTTATAAAATGTTTGCCAATACTGAAACTCACTCAAACTGGCATTGCCTTTATTTAAGCTTTTGAAATTACAGAACAAGAGGTCTCCTGTTAAATGCCAGGTGTCACTTAGGAAGTCTGAGGAGAGGTAGGCCAAAGGACATTCTCTCCTACCTCTTACCCCAGTATCGTCAAGCTTAAGAAAGACTGAGATCGGGCTACTTTCACTATTCCAAGGCATGTGTGAGAGCAAAGGTTATAGCAAAATGGACAGTAGCCAATTTTTAAATATTTCCGTCCTGTCATCCTATGGTGCTTTATACATGATTTTAAAGTAACACGTCTTGCTGTATTGTTTACTTATTCACTCATGTATTTATTCAACAAACATTTAACCAGCCCCTAATGTGGCTGGCATGGAGGATATAAAGGGGAGACTAAGACATCAATTGCCAATAAATCCTGGGACTAGTAGGTAAGGTATGCTGATGAAAGTCTCCCCTGCAGTACAATGAGATGTGAAGCCAGAGACCTATGAACACAGTAGAGATACAGCTTGCGAGATCTTAGTTAACTCCTTTTATCCAGAGATAAATGTCACTGGGAAAGGCCTCTGGAATTAGATGGACTCTGAGTTGACTTTTGTTTGTTTGAGTCAGGGTCTCTCTCTTTGCCCAGGTTGGTCTTGAACTCCTCAACTCAAGCAATCCTCCTGCCTCAGCCTTTCAAAGTGCTGGGATAACAGGTGTGAGCCACTGTGCCCAGTCTGAGTTGACTTTTTTATCCAACTGGATTTTTTTTTACTACTGTACCGTGATATAACAGACGTTTTACTCATTGTGGACAACGTTTTATTCATTTTGAGAAGAGGAGCAAGTTTTTCTTATTCTTTCCTCCAAATTTTCTCCAGAAAGCAAACAAGTTACATGCTTCTACAATACAATGGTGAGACAGGCATAGAACAGACATCCCCATTCCAGAAGGGAGAAATAGAAAAGAAGTATAAGCATTCTAAGTGAGTCCAGAATCTGGCAGGGCAAGTAACACGCAACCTTAAGGCTTGAGAATAACTTTTGACCTGATGTCCCATCTTCAGAACACCGGGGTTGGAGCTAGTCCCAAAGACTCTAGGCAGGTCCACCCCCATGGCTTTGCTGGGCACAGCCCACCTGCAAGCACTCACAAACTGAAGCTGGGTGTTTAAGTTGTCCCAGGCTAGAGCTGCACACCATGGTTCTTCTGTTCTGATCTCTAGGGCAGCCCCACGCCCACGGCTCCACCAGGCACTGCCCTAGTGCAGACTCTCAGCAGTGTCTCCAACCCTTGGCAGTTCTCTGCTGGGCCCCAAGACTCTGTGGAGCATCCTCTGAAATCTAAGTGGAGTCAGCTTATGCACTTGGTGTACCAGCGGGGATGGCACTGCCTAAACCTGCCAAGATTCACCCTGAGCCCTCTGATGGGTGGCCACTGTGGCCCACACCACACCTGGGCCCACAGGAACTACGCCTGGGTCAGCTGAGAAGCGCTGGTGCCAGAATGTGGGGAGCAGTGTCTTGATGCAGCATTGGGCATCAAATGCCCAGGTCATGTGGGTACTCAGGCCCCTCTTTTGACATAGTTCTGTCTCCCAGGCCCTGGCACTCTGGGCCTATGATGAGAATGACCACCCCCAATAATCTCCAAATGCTTCTGAAATGCCTTCAAGGTCATTCTTCCACTGTCTTGTTGAACAGCACCAGGTTTCTGCACATCCACACTAATCTCTTTGCCAAAGGGTCATTTGGCCATACCCTTAGTGTTCTCTCCCAAACAAACATTTCATTCTTTACAACATGGCAGGGCTGAGAATTTTCCAAATCATTAAGTTCAACTTCACTTTTGTTTATAAATTCCATCTTAAATTGTTTCTTTCTTCTTGTGTTTTACTACAAGCAATCAAGCCAAGTCACGCTGCTCTGTTACCACTGTGCTTAGAGGTTTTTTCTGTCAATATCCTATTTCATCACTGAGAATTCTATCTTTCACAAAACACCAGGATGCAAATGCAGTTCAGCCCAGTTCTCCACCACTTCATAACAGGGATGGATTTCCCTCAAGTCTGCAATAACATGTTCCTCACTTTCATCTAAGACCTCATCAGAACGGCCTTTATTGTCTATATTTCTACTAACATACTCATCAGTATTACTTATAGCAATCTCTAAGAAGATCAAGACTGTCTCTAAGGTTTTCCTCTTCTTTTCAGCCTCACTGCTTTTTCTAGCATGCACCTCAAAACTCTTCCAACCTCTACCCAGTTCTAGAAACGATTCCAAACTGATATATTGGCTATAACAAAATATTTTAGACCAGGTAATTTATAAACAACAGTATTGCTCACAGTCCTGGAACTTGGGAAGTACAAAATCAAGGCATCAGTAGATTGAGTGCCTGGTGAGGGCCCCTTCTATATGCCCTCTCACAGTGGAAGAGGCAAACACACTCCCTTGGTCCTTGGGCCTCTTTTATGAGGGCATCAATCCCACTCGTGGAGCCTCCACATTAAAGATTAGGTTTTCAGCCAGGCTTGGTGGCTCAGCCTGTAATCCTGCGCTTTGGGAGGCTGAGTCCGCGTGTTGAAGACCTGCCTGGGCAACTTGGCGAGACCTCATCTCTACAATAAATCAAAAGATCAGCTGGGCGTGGTAGCGTGTGCCGGTAATTCCGGCTACTAGGAAGGCTGGGGTGGAAGGATTGCCGGAGCCCAGCAAGTCGAGGCTGCAGTGGCCGGGAGTGGCCACTGCACTCCAGTCTGGGCGACAGAGTGAGACTCCAACTCAAAAAAAAAAAAAAAAAAAAGATTAGGTTTCCAAAATAGAAATCTAGGGAGATACAGACAGACCACGGCATCTTCCCTCTCCCATTTTTCTACCACCCTCTTGACAAACAGAGAAGTTCTTTAATCTTATTTTAGTTACATTTATTCATCTTTTCTTTAATGTTGGTAACTTTGCAAGTCTTGCTTAAGAAATCCTAAAATAAAGATATTCTTCTACATTTTCATCATTCTTGCATTTAATATTTAAATCCTTCATCCACATGGAATTGACTTTTGTAAATGACATAAGACAAATATCTACTTTCATTTTTTTCCCCAGATGGGTAACCATTTCCTTCAGCTCCATTACTGGACAGTATTCCTTTTACCACTGATTGAAGATGCCACCTCTAACAAAGTGCCCTTATATGCATGTGTCCGTTTCTCAGCTTGCTTTCTGTTCCACTGGAAAACCTGCACCAATATTATACTGTCCTAATTAATACAGTTTTCTAATAATTCTGAATACCTGGTAGACCAAGTTCCCCACCACTGTTTCTCTTAAGAATTATTTCTGGCTATTCTTGGTCACTTTGCTTATCCTTATACATTTTAGAATCAGACGGTCAGTTTAATAAAAAGTCTCCTAGCATTAAAATTGGAAGTAAATATGGAGGACACGGATCAGCAATTCCTGGGACTCCTTGGGCCTTTAGAGGACTCGTGAGACCGAAACTATTTTCATAATATTACTAAGGTGTGTTTGCCCTTTTCACCTTCTGTCATGAGTATAATGAGAGTTTTCAAGAGGCTTCATGACAGTGTGGGATGCTTGATAACAGAAGGAGTGTTTCTGTGTTTACAATATTTCTCACTTTTAATTTCTAATACTGCAAATAATGACAGATATAATCAACATAAGCAAAAGTTCTTTAAAGTCCTTAATAATTTTTAAGAGGCTCTTCAGACCTAAAAGTTTGAGAAAAAATGATACAGATTTAAAGATCTTTTAATTTTTGCCTGTTAGATTATTAAGTTTATTAAGCTTTTTGAGGGATAAGCACTATTTAGGTCATCTTCAAAGTTTCCAGGTAAAAAAACAACAACAAATTTATCTCCTTCTTGATAAATCTTGTGGTTTTGACACTTTTCCCCTTGTCTTCTTTGTGTAATGATTAATAGTCATACTCTGGAGCCAGTTTGTATTCAAATCACGGTTCTGCCACTGGAGTCCTTGAGCAAATTACCTAATCTCTCAGGTGTTTTAGTTTCTATATTTATAAAAGAGGGATGGAGGAATGATGGTGATAATAATAGAAATCACATTACTGTTATTTTTTTCAAAAATCTCTGTAGTATTCCATTGTATAAGTAAACCGAAAATGCATAATTCCCTTATCAAAGGACATTTAGGTAGTATTTATATATTACAAATTATAATACAATGCATATTAGTAAAGACGAATCCTTGTGTGGTTGTATATTTCTGAAAGCAAAATGTCCAAGCAGAAATGTTGGGTAAAAAAGGCAAACACACTTTTATTTTGATAAGTGCTGCTATGTCATTCTCTGAAAAGGAGTACCAATTTATATTTCGAGTAAATACTGGAAATCAGAATAAGCTTTTCAACCCTTGCTAACACTATATAGCATCAATATTCAAATCACTGTCAGTCTGAAGCATACATGAGTCTCTCATTTTAATGTTCATTCTGTGAGTACTATTGAGATTGAGCATATTTGTATTTATACACCATTTCCATTGTTTCTTTTGTGGGCTGCCTTCTTAATACTCCGTCAATTTTTTTTATGGATATGTAGGAGCACTTTACACAGCAGGGATATTAACCCTTTCTATTATATATGTTGCCAATTTTTTGTGAGGTGGTGGTTTGTCTTTTTTTTTTTTTTCAGTTGGAGTTTCACCCTCTCACCCAGACTGGAGTGCAGTGGCCG